TCCTCGGCTCGACGATGTGACAGTCTGCCGCTCTCAGGACGGCAGCCCTGGAAGCCCGGCAGGTCAGCTCTCCTCTGTCACCATCCAGGGTGCTGTGAGTCCGGATCGACACGATGGCACTGGGTTTGGTTTGGGGGTTCCAGGCAAGCAACATAAAATCTCACCACTGACAGGTACAGACGACAATGAACACAAGGGGGGCATCTTCTCTCCTACGACAAGACTAAGCATCATAAACAAGTTGCTTCTTCTAACATGAATCCAACTGGTTCTAAATAGGATCTCAACTGGTGATCTCATTTTCGTTTTTTTGTGGAGGGGAGGGGTTGGGTTAGATACTGTTAACATATCCAAGGAATGACCCCTTGTCTGACAGTATAAATGCAAGGAACATTCAAAGAAGGACGACCATAAACAGAGACTTATCTTCATTAACATCAGACTGTACTATTAAAAAATAAATAAAACACATGCCTGCTGACATCCAGTCGGTTCCAACTCACAGCAAGCCTGAAGGACACAGTAGAACTGAACAAGGTGGTCCATATTTATGGAAGCAGATTAGTACATCTTTCTCCTGGGGAGTGGCTGGCGGGTTCGAACCACCAACCTTTAAGTTAGTGGCTGACTATTTAACCACTGTGCCAGAGCTCCTTGGCCATACTGTGAAGCCCCTCCCACCATCGAATCGTACAGTCTTGGCACAGAACTTGACAAATGAGCCTGAGACTCTAGAACCAGATCGCAGCCTGCATGAGAAGTCAAACTGCCAAAGAAAGCATTTCCATCTTGTGGAAACCGTTTTTCTTAATTAATTGTGCACTCCCAATTGGCTCTCCATCTGGAAGAAAGTAAAACTGGCTTCCTATCTCATACGGTCTACCAAAATAAATTCCAGATGTATTAGAGACGGACTGTGAAAAACAAAACCAGAGGAACTCTCCAAGAACCTCCTGGAAAATGCCATGTTAAGTTCCAGGGAAAGGAGACGTTCTTAACCACAGGCAGACGCTTCAAAAGCACCCTCCTCGACTACGTAAAATCCCCAAGCGTTCTGATGGCAAAGGAAGCCAGAGAGAAAGCCAGGAGACCAAGAGTGCATCCGGAAGAGGCTTTGTAACGTGAAGACCGAGTTGATCTCTATTTTACTGAAAGAACTCTTAGCAAAGAGGAGAAGCTAGGAAGAGAGAAATGGGCACGGGACCTGCATACACCTTGGCAGAACTACAAATCCAAATGACCCACAAATGAAAAAGATGCCCCAACTCCATGGTAGTTAGGGAACTAGAAATGTATTAAAGTTCAGGTATCATGGCTCTAGTATTTTTCCCCAGGCTGAACAATAATAATTGTTACTTTGGACAGTAATAAAATGTTATTTGGAAGACAGAGGTGTACTGACCCAAGCCGTGATGTTTTCATTTGTCTTATATGCATGCGAAAGTCAGACATCGAATAAGGAGACTGACTAAGAATTGATGCATTTGAATACTAGAAGAATGTGGAAAGTACCACGGACTGCCAGGAGGACAAACCAGTCTGTCTTGGAAGAAGTCCGGCTAGAGTGCTCCTTCGAGCCAAGGAGAGCGAGACTTAGTCGTACAAACTTTGGACTTGATGCCAGGAGAGACCAGTCTGGGAAAGGGCATCATGCTTGGTACAGGGAAACAGAGGACGTTCCAGAATGACATGGACTGGCACAGGGGCTGCGACAGTGGGCTCAAGCGCAAGAATGATTGTGAGGACGGTGCAGGACACGGCAGTGTTTCGTTCAGTTGTCCTGGAGGTTGCTGTGAGTCGGAACTGGCTCAGTGGCACCTAACAGCAGCAGTGTGACGTTCAATTCGCTGCTAATAGAGAAGCAGAGAAAATGGTTACTGCCTTCCTGTCTTCCATGGCAGGTCAGGGTAAATAGCGACCAGGCAGAATCTCTTCTCCTTTTACTCAGCAACCCTACTCCTATAAAAATGAAAGAACAAGCACGTATGTTTCAATAGAGTGTAATTTTGTGGTGTCAAAGAATGGGGAACAGAATGAATGCCTACCATTGGTTCATGGTGGAAAATGTGTATATGTCCCTCCCATGAATTATTATGTGAGTCTGAAAACGACGGTATTAATGCCAATCCCCATGACTGGAGGGATTACCATGATGCATTATTTTGTGAGAAACCTCTGATGAAGAAAAATGTGTATAACACCCTCCTCTTTTAATGCAACGCACGATCCCCCAAGTCTACATATTTATATGTGGCATGCGCTAAAACCCAAACCCACTGCCCCTGAGAAGATTCCAACTCACACTGATCCTATAATGGGTTTCCAAGACTATAAAATTGATAGTATAAATCTTTAGAGGAGCAGACAGCCTCATTTTTCTTCCTCAGCTTGTCTGCTGAGTTTGAACTGCCCACCTCAAGGTTCGAGGCCCAAAGTTTAATGCGCAGTGCCACCAGGATTCTATCAGCAAGATGAAACTAGGACAGGGCATGCGTGCTAGGTCTTGGGATCCCTGAGAGGTGTAAACAATTACATTCAACTACTAACCGAAAGGTTGGAGGTTTAAGTCCACCCAGAGGTACCTAGGATGGAAGACCTGGGGACCTACTTCCACAAAACCTAACTCTAAGACCCTGGTGGCAGTGTGCTACGCATCGAGCTTCCAACCACAAGATGAGCAGTTCAAACCCAGCAGTCACTCCATGGGAGAGAGACAGGGCTATCTTTTCCGATGTGGATTTAGACAGGGCCAGGTCTACCCTGTCCTGTAGGGTCGCGGTGAGTTGTGGAGTTTTTGTTTGAAACCCTGTGGAGCACAAGTCTACTCTGACCCACCTGGGGTACCAGGAGTCTAAAGTTGCTCAAAGGCAACTGATGATTAGCCTCCTGTCGGGGAGACATTGAAGTAATTACATTAAACCCGGAGAATAGAAAGTAGGGATGGCAGTGGAAACAGAGTCCATGACATCATCCGTGTGCTTTATGGGAGGATCCTGAAGACGAGGGTCAGTCATATGGCGGAGAGCTGATCTTTTTATATGTCCCTTCCCTCAATGACTCTCCAGGTCGCTTTCCATTGTTGTAAGGGAAGTAGGTATAACCACTGTGTCCCCAGCTCTGCATGTTTATCTCCTGGAAAGTTCTGGAAGGCCTTGAACTCCATGGCGGCTTTCTATCCTGCCTCTGGCTGAGTGTTTTATGGGTCTTACTCACCACCCTCCAAGGGGTTCTCCCTGACAGCCTTCTTTCTCTGGCTCATTGCCTCAGTCTGCAAATCACCGGCTGGAGCTGCCGGTTCAGAGCCCTCTCCTGAACCAGGCTGCCAAGCCCCATGGACTGGTTGGTGGGTAAGAATTTGGCCCACATCAAGGTCACGGTGCATCAGAATCGACTCAATGGCCATGGGTTTGGGTTTGGGTTTGAGTTTGCAAGTCATCTTGGCGAACCATCTCCAGAACCAAAGAGAATGAGTGGGGATCACAGGGTACCCCGTGTTGAAACGGCACCTGTGCCACAAACCCCTTCTTCAGTATCTGGTGTCAGCCCTTGCAAACACAGTGTGACTGAGCCACACACCTGTTCCTGAGTGGATTCTCCCTCCCCACAGCCCGAGAGAACAGAATCGGGCTGCTGCCTAGGGTTTTCTCAGCTGAATGTGCATGGATGCTGACTGCCACATCATCTCCCGTAGTGTGGGTAGCAGGATCAAACCATCCACTTTTGGGTTAAGCAGCCCAGCGCTCAACCCACTGCAGAACCAGGGCTCCCTCGCTAGAGTAGAGGTCAAAGGAAAAGTCTAGAAGGCAGGCTCCATCTGCCTCAAGAATTCATTGCTCACCTGGACCTACCGTGGTCTCCTCTCCAGCCTAGCCTCCCCCTGTGCCCTCAGCTAGCCATCCTGTATGCTGTAGAGTGTTTGAGTTTTCTTCCACACCCCCACATTCATTCACGTCAGACTGACGGGGTCTCCATACGGGTGCTGCTTCCTGTGCCCCTGTCACCCACATCTTGGGTCATCGTGCCAAACTCAAGGGTGCACGACCTTGTAGGTCAGTCTGCTATTCTGTGAGCCAAGAATCCTTCCTCAAATCTCCCTTCTCCTTCTCCATTTCCGTCCTCATTGGTAACTTGACCCAAACCAAACTCACTGCCATCGAGTTGACACCAATTCACATCGAGCCTGCAGGACGGGGTAGAACTGCCCCTGAGTTTCTGGGACTGTAACTGTTTACTGGAGTAGAAAACTCCGTCGTTCTCCCTCGGAGTGGCTGGTGGTTTTGAACCGCTGACTTTTGGGATTGCAGCCCAACGTGTAACCACGATGTCACCGACGTTCCATAGAAACTTGATGGACCTATAGATACAGTCATGCAGGATCCATGACCCTCCCCTCACGTCTGCCGTAGACTGAGTTCCTAGAGATGAAAGACGATCCTGCCTTCCCCCTTTCTGCTCCCTTGTTTCTTTCCCTCCTCCTCCTCCTCCTTCCTCCTTTGAATCTCTAAATTTTGGGTTCTTATCATCGTATCTGCCCCAGAATTTCTCCTCAGCAAATACCCCCGAGTGAGTAAGTGGATGAAGTTCCCTGACCTCCCTGAACTTGCTGTGTGGCATCCAGCTGGGCCGGGGCAAGCCCCTGCCCGGAGCTGCCAGGAAGCAGGACGCCGTCTCGGGAGACGCACTAAATCACCAGTGGTTGCACACAGGGAGATAGCTGTTCATCTGACAAGATTTGGCAGCCAAGCGGATCTCTATTATACTCTTATTCCGCGTTCAAGCCAGTCATTTGATGCTGGTTATGGATCGGTTCAAAACGGCCTTTTATTTCTTTTGTTTGTTTGGAGGGTGTCTGGGGAATTGTGAATCATGGAGTCTCGGGTTGGGGCTTGACTTAGAAATGAAGTCATCATTCCATAGAACTGAAACACTCCCTCACTCTGTGTGAATGAAGAAGGAAAAAGCAAAAAGAGTCTTCTAATGGGTCATTGTTCTCTCTGTAGATTTTCACGGCCCTGCCACCCTTCACTCTGGGAATCTTCGAGAGGTCTTGTACTCAGGAGAGCATGCTCAGGTTTCCACAGCTCTACAAATTTACCCAGAATGCCGAAGGCTTCAACACCAAGGTAAGTACAACTGTGCCGCCCAGGTGTCCCCTCAAGCAAGCCTGAGCCCTGTCCTTCAGCCCTAGGCATCTGACGGGGAGAGATCCGAAGCTTCTGAGAAAAAAGAAATGATTGAAAAGCAATGAGAAATACGGCCCTTCCCAGTGGATAGAGCAAGGTCATTGAACCAGAGAAGCCAGCCTGGGAAGGAGGTGTCCCATTGAATGTGAAGTTTCTCTCAACTGGAGTTGTTCACACCTTTCCTTGTCTCCGCAGCTGCCTCTGGGATTGATGTGGGCAGCCACCCCCGTGACCCCACTTCCTGAGGGGTCATCCCTCAGGGGAGGCAGGCCCTTCCCACTTTCCCAAAGCCCTGTGAGCCCCCAGAGCCCTCCAGCCACAGGTGGGTGGTTGGCTCTTCATTTATAGACAAAGGGTTCTTATGACAAAGATACAAATCAGCTATCAACGCAGGGATTCAGGCAGACATGGACATTTTTCTTCAGACTACAGAATCAGAAAAGATAACTCAACTAGACCAGAGGTCGGCTGACTGAGGCTCAGGATTAAAATAGAAAAAAATAGTTATGAAGAAAATAGCACTTAGGGAAGATCGAGGCAGTACCGTACACACAATTCCCTCATTACATTTTATTTCAGAGCATCGTGAGCCACAAAAAATTACCCTGGGGGCCGCATGTGGCCCGCGGGCTGCCCATTTGACACCCCTGATCTAGACCAACAATGGAAACCTGTGTTGATAATCCCCTGAGGTGACACAGCAGAAACTGGCTTAGGGGGTAAATGGATTCCTTAGTCTTTACCGATAAAAGAGGACCTGGCCCCTAGTCGGCTGGCCACTGCACTGAGCAGAAGAAGCTTCAGGGCCACCAGCCAAAGCAGAGGGACTGTGTGCAGGTGGACAGAGGGCTCATGAGACACGCACCTGCCTGGCATGTGTTTGTCCTGGTTTGAGGTGCAGGGCAGGATCGAAGAGGCTCAGTTGCTTAGTTTAGTTGAAATCCCAGGACTCTCAATGTGCTTGGGTGGCTCCTGGGACTTTGGTAAAGATGATGTGGGGACATCGCCCTTCAGTCCTCTGAAAGCTTTGTCTGGGGGTCAGGCACTGCTCAACACGACTGTATTTATTCTTGGGAAAGCGTAATGGCCACACGACTAAAAGCCCAGAGGCCCTGTGGTCCTCCTGTCCTCCACACCGGATGAGACCTGGGCGATTCATTTGACCGTGCCCTGTTTACGACAGTTCTTGTCAGTGGCAGCACACGACCCGTGCGCGCCTGATGCTCCACCCGCTGACCCTGTTTCCGGTTGTCTGACGTCAAGGCCACCGGGGCGGAGCGCCACGGTAGAGAACAGACTCCTGCCAGAGGCAGCCGAGTTGGAAGCGACCTGAGACCTTTCTGCAGGCCCCTGTCTCAGAGAGATTTTTGTTGTTGTTGTTGTTGTTGTTGTTGTTCAGACGCCAGGGAACGATGGAGAAGAACGAACATTGCATGGAGGAGCCTCTCCTTCTCTCTGAATCTTGTTTTCCGGTCGCCTCTTCCCGCCACTTAGCATCAAACCCTATGACAGGTCCCAGACCAACGAGTTTCCGTTTCATCCGACTTGAATAATTCCATCCTCTCCATGGTCGAAAGGACGGTGGAAATGCCTCCGTGAAACCCTGGCGTGACCTCCTCTACACGTGGGTTCTTTTTCCTTTTGGCCTCCCAAGCATTCCAACCAAGAGGACCCTCCAATGGGCACGGTCTTTTCATCAGCACCAAAGTCGAGTTAGAGACTGGGAACATTCTGTAAGAACGTACGTGTCGGATACTTTGCAGGCTTCCAGAAAGTGCCCACGTTCGGAACTCACGTTCCAACTGGGGACAGATGGTGTGCTTGGTCTCCGAGGAAGTGTGTCTATATTTAAAGTTAGGTCCTTGTACCGCAGTGATACGATCTGGAGATGGCCCAGCCATTTGTAAGTGTGGAAAAAAAAAACAAGAAACGAGCAAAGAGTTGGGTTTCCCCCCTCTAACTCCAAGAATAATATGCGCCTTTTGGGGGGTGGGGGCGGGGTGAGCAGCACCCTGCCAGAGTCTTCACAATGAAGGGCTTGTGGGGCGCTGCTCAGAGGTCAAACGGTCTGGGCCGCGGCTGACTCCCTGGGTTTGTTTTCCCGTAGGTCTTTTGGGGTCACTGCATCAACGCCTTGGTCCACTCCCTCATCCTCTTCTGGTTTCCCATGAAAGCGATGGAGCACGGTAACTGCCTCATGATTCTAACTGTCAACAAACAGTCTGTCCGGTCAGCTTTCTGGTCTCTCGGGTACCAGCGGGTTCAGTTTTCTGTTTCCGGTTCCACAGAGCCAGCGATCCCAAGAACAAACTTCAGAGCCAGGGGTGGGAGTTGGGGTGGGAGACCTGGAAACTCAATGACAGTCCCTGGGCTCTAGCCCGCAGATCTCATCAATTCTGTCCGCAAGAAGCCGTCTGCTTTACGGCTGACCGAGGAGCAAAATACTTAGGATTCTGAGTTTATTTTTCAAGAAATGTTTGAGCCAGGGAACCACAGCACCAGGCTGTAACGAAATGCCAGGGCCTCCGATCTGGAGCTCTGAAATTTCCTGTGAGTGCTCGGCGCTTGCATTTTCCAAACCTCACATACCTAGCTGCAGAATCTGTCAAACTTTCCTAGGAATTCTGTCAAAACTCCCAGTTGACTGGAGAGACGTTCATTGCCTGTAGCTCATTGACTGCAGCTACTTCATCAGGAGCTAGACCATTTCAAGCGATCATTCGAAGACCACCCCTCTGGCTGGGACTTGGGTTTTTCCTCTGGAGCGAGGAGAGGATGGGTGGGAATGATGGTCAGGTGTATCTACCCTTCGGACCACATCCCAAACCCTGCCTCTTAGAGCTGTTTCTTGAGCCTCCGAAACTGAAAATGTATCACCAGACTGTTGCTCTTTCCTCCCTCTCAAGAACTAATAATCCCCCTGGGGAAAATCATGCCAAATGTGGACTGGACCAGGCCCCTATTGTCTAAAGAATAGAATCTTTCCAAGCTTGTCAATGTTCCCTTTGTGCTTTAAACAGAAACAGTTCCCTCTCACTGGTGTTCTTGAACCAATGAGATGCTGGAAGTTGGAGAAAATGTGTCCACTTCCCATTGAAGATTGAGGATCACCTTTTCTTTCGCTCTCATTGGGCCGCCTTCTCCTTCCACATTCCCTTAGTTGCTCCATTAAAAAATGAAGCTGTTTGCCCCTAGCCCTAGACCCCAAAAGACCTTCCAGGGGAACTGTTTACCTGACAGTGCTCAAACTCTCCGGTGAGTCAGCTCTCCTCGTGGCGGGTTCTGTTTCATTCAAAATGGTTTTACAAGTAGGAGCTTAGGGAATGTGACTTGGTCCTAGAAGCCGGAGCACGTCGCTGGTGCCAGATGGGACAGTAATTGTGGAGATGCACAAGGTCTGATGGGAGGTCCCCGTGCACCTGGACCCAGCCTGTCATATGTCGGAGAAGATAGAGCTAATTTGCACTGGCTCTAAGTCTGACCGCGAGCTAGCTCCTTCCTCTCCAGACATGGCGGCTGCCTTGGAAATGCTAGCCAGAAGTTTTACAAGGGGTCATCCCTTTTCTGCTTCAAAAGAAACCAGTGTGGGCCTCACTGGTCGATCAAGCAATCCAGGGGATTTCAGACCCTAGAGTTATGATCATGCGTTTTGAGTTGGTCACTCCCAGTTTATGATGGAAGACTAGGGTTTGCTGGATCCTATGTGGAAACCCAAACACCCACCGAGTAGATTTAAAAAGAGGCGGCCTCCCAACAGGTGCCGGAGAGTTGGCCCTGACTCACAGCGCCCCACTGTGTGCAGAGTTCAGCGGCACTCTGGAGGCTCTCCAGTGGCTCTTCTTTTCAGAAGTACTGAATTGTGCCCCCACCTCCAAATCGTGAGGGACTTCAGAAAGTTCATGGGAAAAAACCATTCCCTTTCCCCACAGGCTTTTGAAGCCTATTCATATGAGTCAACTTGGCCAGCACGTGATTCCTAGACGTCTGTAATCCTCCTCCATTTTGTGTGGATGTGAGCATCCTGTGTGCTGTAAACCCTCACCTCTGCAATGGTCACAAGGCAGGATCCAAGGGAATGTGTTCACGAGCCTGCAGGCTGAGGCTGTCTCTCGAGTCTCAGTGTCTTTTGAGATAACAAAAGCGAGTAAGCAAGCCAGCAGAGCTAGAGACCTGACTACAGTCTTCTGATGCCTGTTACCCTATCCCAGCCGCACAGGCTGGTGTGCCTCCTCCATGTGGGCTTGTTGCTTCTCTGCTAGATGGCCACTTGTTGAACCTCAAACCTTTAAGACCAAACCCTCTAGACAACGGGACATCCCCTTACAGAAGGGTCACAGGGAAGGGATGAGTCAACCTGGGCACAGTCTAGCACCGAACAAACACACAATCGTCCTCTGGTTCTAGCACCGAACAAACACACAATCGTCCTCTGGTTCCTTGAGGCTTCCTTGACCGCAGTCCTGCCTTTCTCTGCGGGCTAGACCAGAGCATGTGCACAGGGACAGATAAGAGATAAGAGCTCAGGACACATGGAATCCAGGAACAGGAATGGGAGTATGGATACCAGGAGGGGAGGGGGAAGGTGGAGAGAGGTGGGGAGGAAGAGGGAACTGATTGCAATTATCTACACATAACTACACCCCGCCCCCCACCACCACTCACCCCTGCAGGGGTTGAACAACAGGAAACATGGGGGAAGGGAGAAAGTGGTCAGTGTAAGCTGATGAAAATAACAATGATTTATCAAGGGGTCACAAGGGTGGGAGGGAGGAAGAGGGGGGAGAAAGAGGAGCTGATACCAAAGGTTCAAATAGAAAGTAAATGTCTAGAAAATAATGATGGCAACATATGCTTGATACGATGATGTGTATGGATTGTTATAAGAGCTGTAAGAGCCTCCAATAAAATGATCTTTTAGTTAAAAAAAGAAATACTTGTCTGCAACCAAGAGAGAAGGACCAACAGCAGGCACATCCTTAGGCCCCTGGAGAGCCCCCAAGGAATGCGGGCCCACAGCAGTGAAAGAGGAGAGGACCTTCCTCCAGAACCCACGCTCACAAGTCAAACCGATTCCATATACAAAACCATACACATCACACACAGGAAGCCAACAAACAAGGGAAAAGCAAACCCCCAAGCCCCACTATCGTGACTCGACAAAACACAGAACTTCAACTGAAAAAAGCAAGTATATGGATATGTATATTAAAAACTGAAATAACTTTCAAATGGGTCCAAAGGGAGATCAAATGATAAGGTTTTTCATTTTAAACTAACTGCATCTGTCCCCGTCGATTATACAATGCTCTCTATCTGATAGCAAGGCTAGTCACACCCCTCCACTGTGGTCAGAGGGGATTCACTGGAGGCAGAAGCCACGTGTGGACCCCCAAATGGATGTTGGGCTTCCACTGTCATCCACAGCCTCTGTAAACCAGGTGTTCACACTTTAAGCTCTGATACCATTCCCTCCTTTGGATTTGGATTTCCCAGTTTTTATTATAACTGCCAACAATTTAATTGTTTTATTACATTTCTTAAACCTTGAGGACAAAGGTCTTCCTTTAAGACAAAAACCTACTGAGTGGTGTTGTTTAAGGGGAAGAAAATCTCCGATATCCCTTGTACTTAGCACGGAACAACAGGATGCCCCTGGTGTTCTAACTCATTAACTCTAATTCATTAACTGCCTCCACTTAGTCTCATGCAGGGGTCCTCAACCTTCCTAATACCGCCACCCTTTAATACAGCTCCTCATGTTGTGGTGACCCCCCAACCATAAAATTACTTTTGTTGCTACTTCATAACTATTAACTTTGCTACTATTATGAATCGGGTGACCTATGTGAAAGGGTCGTTCGACCCCCAAAGGGGTCTCGACCCACAGTTTGAGAACCTCTGGTCTAATGAATATGCAGATGAAAAATTATTCCATCACTGCTCATTAACCTTATTCACATTCATCACTTTTCTGGACACAATCCCGTGGTGGATTCTGATGTTAATAAGCCAGTGAATAACTGTGAGCCTAACCTTCAAAGAGTTTGCAGACTGGGGAGGGTGATGGGATTTGCCACCCCAAGGAAAATGTAATGAAAAGAACGGCCTCAAATAAAATAGAGATAAAGTGCTGTCCCCTCTCAGAGGGCTGAGAACAACTGCCTTTCACCTGTGATGAGAAAAGGCTACTTGGGGGAACAAATATTCAAGTCAGCCTGGAAGGCCAAGTTGCTAAAGCACTCCGCTGTGATCCAAAAGGTGGGTAGTTGATCAAGCTCTCCTTGGGAGAAAAATGAGTCAGAGTGCTTCCATCAGGATGGCAGCCTCGGAGACCCACCGGGCAGTTCTACTTTGCCCTGCAAAGTTGCTACGAGCCAGAACCAGTCCGATAGCAGTAGGTTTTAATCACAGGAATAATTGGGCATCGGCATGGAAGTCCTGCAGGCTGTGGTTGCAGCTTACAAAAGAGGGGCACAGCCTCGTCAGGTGTGGTCATTAGGGATTATGTCAACTGGACACTCCTGGCTAGGGGCGGAGCCAAACCTGTCAGTCAACTTGGAGCCCTATGACGCCTCCTGGATGTCCTAAGCCTTTTTGCATAAGAGTGAGAGACCTTAGGAACTGCTCTCTCTCTGCCTTCCTGCCTGTTGGGAGTCTGCCTGCCTCCAGGGGTGGCCCCATGTGGGCTGCCCACGCTGAGAGCCGTTGGTGCCCTGCTACATGCCCATCAAACTTGAATCCATGGGACTCTGCCCTCACCAACCCACGATCTTACGCCTCCCCATTCTGTGTCACCGGCATGTGCCTATGTGAGTCTGAAGAGGGACTTCTAGGCTAGCACGCTGGGATGCCTTTGTTTTATGTAAGATTACGGTTGATATAAAGCTCTTATATGCAGATGAAGCGCCACTAGATTTGTTTCTTCAGACAACCCAGCCTCACACAGTTAGTGAGCCAGGGAAGAAAGTGTTTTCTCCAAGGAATGGGAGCATTCTGGAAAGAGGAGTAGGGGATGGACCAGGTAGCCAAGGAAAGTGTGGAGCATGAAGGGGAAGTTCATTGGGTAGGGGGGGGGGGGGGAGGGGGACACAGAGCAAAGTACCCATTCCCGGAGGCTGGAGAACAAGGGCATGGTTCTCAGTGGGGTCTGGATGCTGCTTGATGATTCTTGGTCAGATTTTGTTGA